CTCCCCGGACCTTGCTCCAACTGATTACGATTTTTTCCGGAATTTGGACAAATTCTTACAAGGAAAAAAATTCAACTCCGATGCGGCAGTCCAAACCGCCTTCAAGGAGTTTATTGATTCTCGCCCCTATGGTTTTTTAGTAGAGGGATAAATCAACTACCTATGAGATGGCACAAGTGCATAGATAACAACGGTGCATACTTTGATTAATTAAATATATTTTACAAGAAAAAAATTGACTTTATATTCCTCCCGGACAAAACGCCAATTTCATATGTAAGGACCTATTAAAATTGTCTATATACATATTTCTTTTAACTCATTATTGCTGGATTCTACTACACGAAGTTTTGGTAAGCATACATACCGGTGGTTAACCATAGTCTAACACCCGTATTTATAAACAATTAAAAGTAATTACTTGAGTAAAAGTAATCACTTAAGTAACGATTTGTCGATATATATATATATATATATATATATATATATATATATATATATAATTACTTTAGTAAATATAATCATTTAAGTAACTATATGTGATATATATATATATATATATATATCGAATAAATAATCATAAGAACAGAAATTAAACAAATAAGTATAATAATCAAACATTATATTTATGTTATAAGTTTTACACTATTTACTTTAACATATTTAATTTTATCGCATAATAATTATTTTTAACAGAAAACAAGAATTAATTAATAATGTTTTTTACTTCTACTTTTATTTCTTTAGAGTTGAATAAAATAACGATTTTGACAACCTGGCGCATAGTAAGCGCTCACGGGGTACCGAAGTTGCCACAATAGGCAAATAGATCTTAGCTAGGCTAAGAAGCCCAAGCATCATCATCATTTCATGCCATCTCACATCTCCAACTCATCTCCCTTTATAAGAGTGACAGATGATTACATGAATATATGTAACTCTTTTTTCGGGATTATGTTATTTCTGCTAAATGAACCTTCTTACTTTAAAAGTTTAGACGTTACCTAACTTCGGCATTTTTTACGAATATTTATTTTAGGCGTCATAAAAATTGTGTTAATCGCCGTTCGTAAGTTTTAACATACGGAATTTTATGCCTTAGAATTGTTGGTTATTTCGAAACCTTTGACAGTAAGTCAAAACATCGTTAATAGTAATGAAGAACTATGTTTATGAACACAGAAACAACCACCAAGAGTAGTGTTACTTGGGCATTTGCTCGAGTAAGTAACGTGTGTTACTCAACTGTAGAATGAGATTTTGTAATTAAGAATTCTAACTTTATGTAATGACTTAACTAAGAAATTACTTGGCAACAAGTAATTACTTCTTTATAAATACGGGAACAAATATTTCTTACTGAGACAAAGAAGTATGCTTGTTCAAAAATAATATAAGTATTAATTTCAAGGTAGAAGCAGTGCATCTGCCCACATATGGGAAACATCGTATACTTTTGTCGCCCTTTCAAAATTTTTTTACTGTGAGTAAACTTTCCCTAATGCGTATAACGAGTCCATGAGACGTCTTACATTAAGAAGCTAAGGTAATTTTACTACTTATAATTTTACTTTAAGCGCATGGGGCAACTTGTGGATGAGTAAAATATTTTAAGTTCCGTCACCGACATGCTAATGTATATCTATCAGTTTATCAGTCCTATATCTGTAGCTATAAGTATGACGTGTTGCACAAATGATATGCACGTTAGACGCTTTTTGGAGGAAGATCTCAAAAATCAATTTTTATAAGAGCCGCGTAATAAAATAAAATAAAATAAAATAATGTGTCTTATCTAGTTTAAAAAGTACCTCCCGCCCTCCTTCAATTGAGTGCACTTTCCCCGTCACCACTGATCCCAGTACCATTAATCCCAACTCTACTATACTAGGGAAGACACCACCGTTGATACGACACGGTATATACGACACATGTTTCGCTTCCACACGAGACATGCTCAGGTGAAGTAGACTCTACAGTAGCTAAACAGCTCTGCAGTGATGAGCCAAAACATATGCTATTTATACAGCTTCTGGTGCAACTGGTGCTGGTGTTTCTGAGATTAGTGTTGACGGGAAGTGAACCCAATTGAGGGAGGACAGGAGGTGCCCTTCAAGCTAGGTCAGGCAAATAATTTTTTACTTTTTTTATCTTTTATTTTCTGTTTTCAATTCTTTTTAAAACATCGATAGCTTTTTAAATTTATGCTATTGTATTTTGGTTCCATCGCTGTCCTTCTATAGTTGTTTAGATTTTAAGCTCAACAGTTTATGACACAATTTATATATAGTCACGTATCATATGTATTGTATGCTTATTTTTGTTTTTATTCACCGTTATGATTTATGTATACTTAATGTATTCAGATTTCATTAAGACCACTGCTCAAACTACTCGAATGCTTGCTGTGCTTGCCATGGCTAACGCTGAGTGCGACCCCTTTTCGTCCCGATCGGCAACGGCTATACTTTAGTATTATTAAAAATAATCTTAGAAATAAGAAAACAATTGTGTATAGTATAGCGTTGCGCTTATATGACGAATTAAATATTTTATTTATTTCTTTCTTTAATTTTATTTAAGTACGCGTATCTTATCAAATTTGTTTATGAGATCTTGAATATAATTGATTTCCGCTAGGTAATGCCTGATTGAATTAATTCACTTTTAGGTGGTGTAAATCTGATAAGTTCGCATCACCAACATGATATAAGAGCAGTACGAGTATATAAGATTTTTTTTGACAATCTTTACTATATTTTATTATCATAAGATGATATTAGTAGTGCTGTGTATATGTATAAAAGTAAAGTTAAACTGAAAATAATTGAAAACCTAACGTCAATGATTAAAATTAAAATTTATGCAATTTTTATTTTTGATTCTGCAATTAATTTGAAAATCTAAAATAAAAAGTATTATTTCATAATTTTAAGTTTTCACTTCCATCGGCAGTTCTCAATGACTGCCTGTTTCCATTATTTATCATATTGGCTAATAAAAAGTGATTATATTTGTTACAGATACAATTTTTAATATCTAACCAGATGAAGACGAAGTAATAAACGATCTTACGAAGTATAAATGTAACAAGGTAGGCAACATTATGGACAAATGTTACATATCTGAGTGTGAAGAAAACCATATTATAATTGAAGAACATTGCAAATGAAATTGCAAGTGGAGATAGGTATGATATTTATATTTTGCAGATGTCCAGCCATCATTTCTAATCAATGCTAAATTATTCATTTAGGGAGTTCTTTTTTAATAAAAGTATTTCTACAATCTAAAATTTGTGTTTATTTAACAACCATAAAAGAAGGTTTTATTTTTTATTTAGGTTTTACCATAGAATACTATAATATATACACAAAAGAACGGGGGAGTGGGCGGAGCCCGTGTAGACACTAACATATCACTAACATGTCAATTCACACCTATTAATGTCAACACATCTCTTTTGACATTACAATCGCTTGCTATTTTCAATCAAGCATGCAAATTATATAAAAATGCCAAATTGTGAAACAATTACGTGTCGAAAGGGAAATGGAATTTACTAAAGTGAGAAATTGAATAAAGAAGACATATCCTTCAAACAGTAAGTTGAAACTATTTACATTTTGTGAATATTAGAAACAAAAATAAATAAATATTGATGTATAAAAAACAACAGAAATCTAGACACGCGGTAGCGTGTCAAGCCAAGTTCAAGCAGAACGGCGAGCCGCACCGTGTGTAATATTACACGAAACATTTGGAGCCACTTTTGACCCCCTCATAACTCAAAAACTATTTCACATAAACGTGTCAAATTATAGGATCAAATATTGAGACTTGCGAGATACATATGTGCTTCAAATTTTATAAACATGTCTTAAACGGTTATTTAGATATTAACGTCCAAAAAACGTCATTTTCATTACTGACTGACCTATAGATCAAAACTCTAACCCAGTTCCAGATGACCTAAAAAAGTTCAAATTTGGCATACAGATAGGTAATTAGGTAATATTACAAAGGAATAAATCAGAAAATGGTAAATTTTTTATCATTTTATTATAATTTTTCACTTATTTGATTCTATTAGGAACACTAAACTTTATTAACTAATAACTACTAATATATATATTATATTTATAACTGTAATAATGTATGTTTATAAGAATCAGTAATCTAGTAGAGTAATATGACAGCCGGTCTTAAATATACCCAAAATTTTTTTTAATCCAAATATTTCCGTTTTAGTACTTATAACTAAACTAAGAGTATAGTCGACTTTCGTATTTATTACGTTATTAACTGGGATTTAGTATTAATTATTGTTTCAATATAATATAGCGTATATAAATAGCGTAAGATCGTTACTAATAAATAATTAAATAATAGGCATTGAGATATACTGATGATAATAGATAGGCATTTCGGTACACGGCGCGCGGTGCGACCGTGCGACGTCGAAGGAGCGGGGTGGGAGCGATGCGATAAAGCGGGCTACATACGAGACGATATCGATGGCGATCTAGGGTGGAAAGAAATCGGGGCTTTTATCGAGGCCTGTCTAGTAGGGATGGCGATTCTTTTCGAAAAAGATCGATTTTTAAATCGATTCGAATTATGACCTAATGAATCGATTCACAAAAAAATCGAGGTCTATAAGATCGATTTCCGAAAAATCGATCTTTTTTTCAAGTTTTTGTTTATAATGTAATATTTTATTAAAAACAAGGTACATATTATAATTTAACGATCTCTTATCAGTAAAATCAGGTAATTCGATAATAAAAAATATTTTCATTACCATGTCAAACTAACAGATAAAGTATAAAATAAGACATTTATTTTCTACATTTAGAAATTTTACAGAGTTAAGAAAATGGTTAAGAAAAATCGTTTACAAAGTTAATAGATAATGTAGCTTATAGTTCCCAATGCTCAATATCTTAACTTTTTAAAAACAACAGTCTATCAAGTCTACAGGGATCCAAGCGGTTTCGCTAATCTGTTGCGATGTTTCCGACAATTGAGAAAAGGCGCTCACAGGGAACAGATGATCCTACGATACTCATATACTTCACGGCTATTGAGTGAACTTGGTGATAAATAGAGTTTTTTTGTTCTTGCCAGTAGAGTATAGGATCATAATTTAGGTGCACAACTGCCTGCGATAAATAGTGTTTAAATTCTTCATTTAAGCCTTCACTTTCCTGTGCATGTGCAGTATATAAAGAGAGTTGCTTTTTCACAAGCAACTTATGAAAATCCCAAATTCCTTTTTTCATATCATTACCAGTCTCTTCAATGGCGTCGACTTCTTCGCTATTATTTTGTGGAAGTTGTTGCCGCGTAATATCTAAAATTGAAGTGTTTATTCTATTTATTGCTCGAGAACAGGCGACATGGTCAGTAAAATGAATTTTTTTAAATATAAGATCTAAAATGGTCGCAGCAGCTAACAAATAAACTTGTTCGACCATTCCAAATCTTTTTTTAAGGCCGTCCACTATTAAAGTTCGTGTTTTAGCACCAATATCGGTTGAATTTTTCATTGTATTATATGTTTCAGTCAGACAAGATACGATTGGTATAATTTTACTGGCTGTAACATGGTTTTCTCCAGATATTTCCTTAGTTATTACTTCTAATGGTCTCAATATATTTATAAGATCTTTTATGAATTCTAACTGCTGTGCAGTAAGCATTGTTGGAGCTTTAGGATACTTGAGTAATATTGGCGCAATTATTTCGGATAACTCAACAAATCGTTCTAATTGATAAAAAATTGAATTCCATCTGGTACACACAGATTGAATAAGCCCCAAAGGCTTTGTTTGGTGATCCTGAACTTTCTTTAAAGAGTCAGTAGCATTTGTATTTTGCTTAAAATATGTAGTAATATCTTTAACAGCTGTTAATAAATTCTTGGCTTCGTCTAGTCCATCCTTATTGTCAAATGGTTGTGATGCTACTAGGTTTAATGTATGAGCAAAGCATGGCATGTGTTTATTTTTGCCATAAACATTTGTGACTGCTTTAACGATATTAGCGCCATTGTCCGTGATAAACGCTACCACTTTGTCACTTGTGATGTCCCATTTTTCTGTCATATTAATAATTACTTGTGCTAAGTAGTCAGTATTGTGTGGTTCTGTTAGAGCAGTTACACCGAAAATTATGCTCATTAATTTATTTTCATTTATACAATGACCAGTTAAGCCTAAGTAGCTTTGACTATTATGCGTGTCGGTCCAAACATCTGCAGTCAAAGATAGTGCTTCTACTTCTTGTATTTTTAATTTCAATTGTGCTGAAAGAACGTTATATTTATCATCAATCATGTGGGTAATTGTTTTTCTGGCTGGAACTTTATATAGCAGTGCCACTACTTTCATCAAATATTGAAATCCTGTTTTTCCACAGTATTTAGAGGCAAGCCATCCTTTGCTATCATGAAGACTATTGCATTGGCTAGTTGACCACTTTTAACACCATTATCTGAAAATTAAAAAAAAAAAAAGTTATAATTTTCGATCCTGTATCTATACATCTCACTTTCATGAAAATTTATTAAAAAAATATTTCAGTTTCTTGTCTTACCTCGAAATGATTTTATATTTGTTAAGCAAGATGCCAATGTTGGCTGTTTTAAGACTGATACAGAGACAGAAGAAGAAGCCACGCTTTCAGTATCCGAATTATCAACGTTTTGAGAATCTGGAACTGGCACGATGCCTAAAGCCATGCCATCAAAAACCTAAAATAAGAAATATATTACTTTGATTTATTGAACATTAATTCTTATTTTGTTCAAACTCAGTACATTGGAAAACAAAGGATGTGATATAAGAAATACAGGCTCCACTCCACTCACTTGTCCATCACCATTTCGTGCACTACCACAATTGCCACCACCACTTTCACTCTTCTTTTTGAGACTTACGGTCTGAATTGTTGAATGACGTCTTAATAAGTGATTACGCAAGTTTGTTGTGTTTCCCTTAGTTTTTACTTCCTGGTGACAATATTTGCATTTGCCTCCTGAGTCTTTTTTTATGAAATGATTCCAAATATCACTTTTACCCGACATGCTGAAAAAATACATTTTTTCCTCATTAAATTTGATAAACAACGAAATTTTTAGTAATTAGTTACCTACTAGTTTTAAGTAATATTCAAAATCCTATTAGCATCAATTCCTAAACAATTTAAAAGAAGACTTTATATGAAAGATTAGTAAAACATATAAATAGTAAAACAATTAAATAGAAATAATAGTTTTTTTGTAAAAAAAACCTTTATAGGTTTATCAGGTTATAATTCGATTTGATTTAAAAATCGATCTTTTTCGGAAAGAATTGCCCACCCATCCCTAGCCTGGCGTTCTTACCTACCAAATATGTATGTGTTGTAGGTGACCGATTTTACTTGATAAAAATAAGATTAAAGTAATTTCGATAGTTTATTTTTAAAAAGATAATCAGGGCTTTACTATTACTTTCTATGTAAACAAAATAAACAATTTGAGGTTATATAGATAAATGGACATAATAGTAGAAGTAAGTATGCACACTTCCTTAAGGAATTCCACATATGACTTACTTATTAGTTATTTCAATCCCCAATATTGATTATTCGTATCTAAACGTAAATGAATTACATACATGGTTAGATTTAATAATCACAACTAATAGATTAAACTGAAAATAATAGCACGAAAGTAAAAAACAAAATAAAGCGCTTTACTTAACTACTTAGTCTCAATTAGTGATTATTCCGCAACAAACACTACATAAAAATTAGTATTTATATCGCTTTACGAGAATCACTCAATCAATCAACAATAAACAAATGAAATAAATACCAAAAATAAATTATGGCTGGCATGACGCAACTCAGTCCAGTCACAGATACAAACAAAAACAAAAAGTCAAAGACTACAAACGTAACTTTTTTATTCAAGAGATGCGAAGGAATCTAAACATACAGCCATCTCGCGAGTTTTTGAATAATTAATTCTTTAACCGGCAGCACTCTTATAATACGGATACATTCAATTAATTGTAAATAGTTTTATGGTTTATACCAAAAAAAAAAATCGAATGTCGATTTTCAAGGGTGAAATATCGATTCACCGAATCGATTCAGTACTACATATCGATTTAAAAAATCGATCTTGTTGGCTCCAAAAATCGATTCTTCGATTAATCGATTTCAGATCGCCATGCCTACTGCCTAGCAGTACGCGTTTGGACTTGGAGCGGAACGCATATGCGGTAGAGTTCTTCAAAATGCCTCCGACTCTCTTAAAACACCAACGTGTTGGTTTGTAATTAGCCCTCTCGGTTAATTTATTCGAAGATAGAAAAAGAGGAGTTGCTGGGTGAATAATGGCACCAAAAGAGACAAAAATTAAGCCACATAAACGTACTAAATGGTCTGTAATCCAAAGACATGATTAATTTTCTCCTGATGGATGAAGACAGTTTTTACAACCTTCTAGAATTTTTCTATATTTATGATTTCGCAACTTATATAAAAACATCAATTTCTCCTACCTATGCTATTTAGTTATTTCTTCTCTTTGTTCATTTCTACTTTGGTCAAAATCGGGTTATGTACTACACACAACAAACAAAGAAATAACAAAATTAGTACTACACACAACAAACAAAGAAATAAAATACTTTTGTATAATAATATGTACTTTTTTTATATCTTTTTTTTAAACATAAAGAAACCTTTAATTTCGGACATACTCCCTTCTATACAGCTTGTTTGTTGATGTGGAGATGGTGAAGGAGTAGGAGTTAGTTTTTGATGAGAGGATGAAGGCACGTAAGAGATATGAGTGCGGTCTTGTGTTGATAGCGTGTGAATAGGAGTTAGTTGTTGAGGAGAGGCTTCATCCTCTCCTTACTTACACAGGCTAGGGTGGATATCATTTGAATTTCGATAGATTTTAATTAATTTATTTATTTAATTTTTTTTGTTTTTTGTAAAACATCAGTGCCATAGGCTTCTATTCCGTTCACGTGTTTAAAATGTAAAAATGTTGTTATGTAAAAAAGGTCATTCAGTATCACTGTTTTTTTAACGTCCTTCCGCGAGGGCTGCCAGCAGCGACAGTCAAAAGAAATCGGGCCGATGCGCCTACACACACGCAGTACGGAGGGGGCGGTGCCCCGATCTAGGAAGCATCGGCTGCATTTTTGCTCCTGCCAGCCGATTAAGGAGGCGATATCGGCCACGACTTAGGGTGGCCCTACATACGACACGATTTAGAGGCAATCTAGGAGGCATCCCCACTACTCCACCTTAGATCGCCACCTATATCATGTCGTATGTAGCCCGCTTAAAACCTTGACGCGAACGTGTCCGAGCAAGTGGGATCCGCGTTCCGCGTTCATAAGCGCGAGCGCCGTCTTGCTGTTCGGTTCTCTTAATATCTGACCTATAAGGTTGCGATTTATGCTACGAAATTCATAGGTTTTCTTAAAAAAATACTTATATATTTGTGGTTATATTATTATTATATTAGTAACTACGTATCGCATGTCTAGATGGTATAGGCAATAGTTTAAATCAAAAATTAATAATAATTTTTGTATAGTTATAATAGTTATAAGTAGGTATGTATACTTAACTCTGAATGAGTTTGAGAATGTGAAGTTGTTGGTGTGGTAACAAATTGTTTTTCTTGAGAACTCAACAGATAACAGGTAATGTGTTACATAATCGTCTTTAATAATTATCTTTTTATTACGTATATTGTACAATGAGTCGTACAATAGAATTACGGGTGGGTGACACACTTACCTTACACCGAATTATTTCAATACCTCTCGATGGAAGCTGCCTATTCCATCGATTGAATATTCTTTATTTGAGTGTAGTAATATACAACAAACAAACAGGTTGCGTAAGAATATAGTAGAGTAACTGGGATGATTTAAGTATGTACACTAGCGCTCCAAACGGGGATCATAACTGCTCTGAAGAAGAGTATCGAGCAAGCATTCTTTGTCCGACAACTTATGGAGCTGCTTCTGTATTAAAGGCTGCAGTAAATTTGCATAATATTAAGATCGAAGTGTATCATCAGGATGGTATTCTGCTAGGTTTGTTCGGCAAAGAGGGATATCCTATAAAGCGCTTTCTCTTGTATTCGATTCGATGGGACGATGACATGACTTCGTATGGATTTCTCATACAAATGATTCCGAACAACTCTATTTATCTATCGTTAATACATTTTGGCAGCAAATTATGTTTTATCTTATTTTTCTTGAAGTAAAATTTTGGATTTCTTTAATGGAAAATTTACAAATAATCGTGTATTTGGAACATACAAAATATTTTTTCCTTGCACTTTTACAAAGTGAATACTTTAGTATTTATATTTTAGTATAAAATGGTACAAAAAAATAATAAAAGAAGGTATTGAAATATTTCAAAATGAATACACTCAAGTTTTACCTGTGCTTACCAGTTACCGATAAGTCACTAAGTAATACTACATCCCTAGCGGTGATACCATTATATACTACAATTTGCTTAATTGCTCAGATTAATACGATGCTACGCATCTTAAACGTGTTCAACAAATTTTTATTTACAATAAGAAAAAAATGATACTTACTGCGATTGTATTCGCGATTAGTTTGCACACTATTTAAAAATGAATATGTATTAAAATTTAAACGACTTATTTTTTTAATGATGATCTAGAATATTAATCAAAAGTCTAAAATGTGTGAATTCGCTCAGTTTGTCAACACAGCGAATCGGGTTTGCAGTAGTAACAATACGACGTAATTGCTTGTATGTGTGCTCCCGGCGACGCTGATCCTCGTAAAAAATAAGATTGACAGCCATTTTATTGTGTATTATAGTTGGTTGCGCCAAAACGCACATTTAATTAACTGTATAAGCTTGCATTATCCTTCCTCCTCACTTCCGATTCCTTCCTACACGGGCTGGATCTTAGATGTGATAGCACCCCTGAAACAGTCGGATAGCACCCCTGTGGCGGTCGAGCCACAGAACAATTTCGTAGTGACTGCTTGCACAGTGCATTTCGTCGCACACTACTGCAAACAATTCGTCGTGGTGTTCAACGGTCAACCCCAGTGTATTTGTCGTCGCGTACCACCGCAGCTGCAACGCAGTGCCATAAACTTCGAGGCCTGTAAAGAGGTCACACCCAAGTAAGTGGTCGTTGCCATTTTGAGCTGTTTTTAATTGTTATTCCTTTTTCCCACAGTAGCTCATGCTCCTGTTATGCCAGCTAAATATAGTAAACTAGGTCATAAAAAAATGTATTGTCCATATTTTATATTGTATTGCTTTAGTTTAATTTAAACGTACAGTTGTAAGAATGCAACTCTACATTTAAATTAATATTATACGCTCTCCTTCGCGTATTGTTATGGTATGTTCAACTAAATACGTCCGAACATGGTGCTTCAGTCAAGTTTGATAGCTGATGCTTGATAACTACTATTATAGTATAACTAGAGTAAGTAAGTAGTATTTTAAAGTAGTGGAGATAGTACCTTACTAAAATGCAAGTTGTGTCACTCAAAGCTATCCGAATACTCAACATTATTTAAATTCATTAGCCCAGCCATGTTGCAAAACACATCTCACTTGTGTACTGTAAAGGACCGTTATGATCTCTTAAATTTATGCAACCACTAAATGTTGAATAAAACTATTTATACGGATTTTATCGCATTTAATTAACTTATTGTAACTAATTTTTAAATTCCCGACATTTCGGGTGCTTTATAGCACCCATGGTCACGGGGGGTGATTGACGTTCCAATGTCATAGGTAGCCCGACTAGCTTCAGTTTTTGATTATTAGTTTTTGGTCCGATCTACGCAGAACGAGCTTACAGTATCTTCATGTCTTGCAGTGGTGTGGTTGGGTTTGGATTTAATTTTGTTAATTATAAGATCACAAGCAGATGGCAGCACCCATCCATCTTCTCTATTTAAATTAGGATGCTTTTTAATTTCAATAGCCTCGCGTTTCATCCTTGGTAGGATTCGGGGTTCTTTTGCAAGGATTTGTGGTTTATCA